AAAACCTTGCCACGCAAACCCAACACAGGTTACAATGGATGTGATTACAGATGGCCTCAGGTCCTCTCTGCTTCCAACATTTTTGGTGCTGTACCAACAGTAAGAACAGAAGGAGCCTAAGGACAGGCACAGACAAATGAATTGCAATATGACATTGAAGACAAAATGTATTTTAACAAAGTTCTTGCTTAAGCCGTGAGCTAGTCATCAAAACACATGCAACTGCCATGACTTTGTCTTACTTCTTCAATCTGGGTACATGACTGGATTTTATGTCTGGCTGTGTCAAACACAGCCCATGTGTCACAGACAGTTTTGAATGCTGCTAATGACCCTAGGGCTACTTGAACACAAAAACTGACCAACCAAACAAAAAAACAACTCATAAACAAAATACTTCTAGAAAGAGCTCTAAGAAAGAGCTGTAGGAAAGAGACACGCTTCAACTGCCACACACCTAAAAGAAACAGAAAACAATTTGCAGAGCCAGTAGGGAAGTGATGAATGCTTTGCTACCAAGAACTTGATATTCAAACAACTATCACCATGTGCCCTTGTCCCTCCTAGGGCTTGAGTTTCAAATCAGAGTTGCTGTGGTATCTGTGACTTTATTACCTGACTTCAGAGTAGAGTACAGGATCGGGGTTCTCGAAAGGGATTGCTCCCCGCAGGAACCCCAACAAGCAAGGCATCTTTGCAGGCATTCTGCAAACAGTACTGCTGGAGCTCTGCAGCTGCCTGAGAGACCTGTGTAAAGGAAAAAGAAAAACAAATCCAGAGAGGAAACCAATTCATTCACAAGCATCTATTAGGCACTTCCTCTTGAAGAACCATTATCAAACAGAGCAGGAGAGCAGCCAAGTCAGCTCTTGGATTCTTGTGCAAGTAAATCAGCACAGACACACATTTACAAAGCTCCCATGAAACACACATGAAACACTATGCCAATAACGAGCCAGAGGAGTGGGGAGGACTGACATGCAAGTGCAATGGAATTTGACCTCATTAAAATGCACAGGGCTGTGACCATGATATTTTCCAATCTACTGTATTGTTTTCAGGTTTATATTTGAATTCTTATATACTCAGATAATTTATAAAAAGGATTTTCATTTCCAAACTGTTAAGCAACACAGAGCACGACAAGGAATGAAAGCAAAAAGATGATGATTAAAAGCTTTTTAAGTCCAAATGGCCACCTTCCCCTGGCAGTGAAGTGAAAGCTTCAAATCCATGTTCTGGACATCCAAAGAGGACAGTCCAGAGCTGCAGAACAAGCCCAGGAACCCAAACACAAGATACCTCCTGCACTGAACTCCCCTGCTTTCCCTGGACAGCAAGTCAGTTGTGTGCCTGTATTTTTGAAGGAAAACATAGGGGAATTCCCAATATCTCAGACACACATTGGTAACAGCTGCAGGGAACTGTCAAAATCCTTGCTGTCTGACACATTTTTTATAAAAGGAAATACTGAGCATATAGATGGGAATGCAAGTTCCCCTCTGACCTCACCTCTGCCTTCATTACAAGACTCCTGAAATACGCATTTTTCTTCCTACACAACTTTGCATTGTTGCCAGCAGAGGGACAAGACAATAGCCAGAAGGACCATCCTCACTTCCCATCCTCCTGATTGAAGGGGCCACCCAGAAGCCCTGATGGGACTATGTCATCTAACAGCATCTGGAAGCATGTGGGAAATCTAGCCTAGTGCACGCTTTCATTTGCTATTTTGCTGCTGTCCTGCTCAACACCTCCCAACTCATCCTGGTAACTGCCCAAACTTACCCAGCAGCTGTCAGCACTTCAGGGAGTTAAGAGAAGCATTTTCCCACGCCCTCCCAGGTTTTCATCAGTGGAGTACAGGGAGAAACATCCACAGCAAGGATCCCTGCTCTGTCACTCCTCCTTTCCTCTACAAGAACCTCTTTCAGGAGGCTGCAAAGGTCTCCCACCCTGCCCAGCCCCTTGGACCCCCTGCAGCATGAGCACCCTTGCCTCAATCACAGTGCCAACCCCTTGCTAGTACTCGACTACGGACCACACACCACCACAATTCCTGATAGAAGAGGTGCCACTTGCCAACACTGATCTGGCCAAGGCTGCGTGGAGCTTTTTCCCGGTAAAACAAGCAGAGAGCCATTCAGGGCACGGCTTGCCCTGTGAGCACAGCACGGTTAGCAGTTCCTTACTGCATCTCCTTGCACTTTGCCGCCAAACTGTGCAACACGTACTGACCTATTTATATCCTGGTGCTCCTGGGAAGATACAAACCTGATTTTTGGCATCTGTGTGAGAATTATCCATACACCATCAGAATTATTCATACACCTGTTGTTCTAGGACACATCTGCTACTCTTAGCCCTACCTACACCCCAGAACATTGTTCACTCGTTCAGTTCACACAGAAAAGCACAAGGGGTTCTGCCGTTATTTCATCACGGGACAAACACAGTCCATGCAATAGCCTCTTGCATGCAAGATACGTGTGGGTACTTCTTTCCTACTTGGTTTCCTCTTTCTGAAAATATGTTCCTGTCTGCTTTTTTAGCTGGCAGGATAAACAAAATCACTGTTGGAACTTTGAAGTATGTATTTTTAAAAATCCTTTCATATCCAGGTTCTGTCTGAAAACACATTCAAAGTAGCCAAAACAACATTTTCTCCCATCTCAGTGTCTGCTAAACCACTGATCCAAGTGGTTTTTCACCAGCTGAATATATTCCTCACCGTTTTAAAACTGCATGTCAAGAAACCCTAGATGATGCTTTTTATAAGACATGTTTTTAATCATGCATCATTTCACTTGTGATTACAAAAAGACATGAACAGGTTCCTAGAACAGCAGCCCTAGAAAGAGACTGCTGTGCATAACACTACAAGAAAGATGAGGTCTTACCAAGGCCGAGCCTCCCTGGAGTACAAGCAAACCCATAAATATGTAGCTTTGAGAAGTACAGCTCCAGAATATATTACCGCCACAAAGAAACCCCCAATAAACTACAAACTGTATCTTTTATACCCTGTCCCCGCCCTCCCCCCCAAAAAAGCCATGAGGAGTTGTATGCCCGAAAATGAGCAGGAAAAGAGATCCAGGCTATTGCTGGTGGTATAAAGCAACATAAGTGTTTGGTCAATCATTTCTTGTTAGACAATACCCCTCTTGCCACAAGGGCCTACATTTCTACTCTGCATTGTGCCGTTTCCCACACATCATTACAGTGATAAGCTACAGTCACTTTTACTGAATCAAACATCTGCCGACTCGCTAATAAAATTTAGTGACATTAATGAATTCATCAGGATGATGCCCAAAAGCCATAGCGGTTTCACCTTGCAACGGGCACTTCAAATTTTCACCAGCCCAGGACTGCAGTAGTGAGATTCTAAATTATTTTTAAATTATTTAGTTAAGTTCCTGCAGCTCAATATACTGGTAGTGTCGTCAGACTGAGGAAGCTGGTGTTTTGTGACTGGCCAGAGAAAAATGGCAAATGCACGGAGGTGATGAGAGAAGAGGAAAGTGCAGGATCCAAATTAATTTGACCTTCATCACTTCACAGCCTATGCTGGATTTTGTGCGTGGCTGGAAAGAATCGTTTTTGCAAAGCAGTTGTGGAT